CTGTGGAACAAGAGACAGCCTGGAGCTCTCTGGGAGAGGAGGGACCAGGATGCCAAAGAGGCGGGAAGTCTTTGTATAAGGAAAGCTGGCCAGACTGAGGAGTCCAGCCTGGACCAGGGAGGAATTGGACAGGGCCGAGGCCAGCGCTGGGAGCGGGTTCCGGGAGGTGAGGGGGTCCCGGGAACACTGGCATGGCTTTCTGGAGAGGTCCTCCCCACCTTCACTGGGATGTGCAGGTGCAGTGTGTTGGGCACAGTAGAGGTGACTGGGCAGAAGGTGGTGGGGTGACGTGCACGAGACTATGGTTTTTGGTCCATCTTGTTTAAAACTCATCCAAAGTGGGGGTGAGGGCATTGCCCCTCCTCCTCATCAGGTCTGGCAGGCAGCTAGGGAAGGGACGGTCCCCTCCCAGGAGATCCCCGTCCTTTCCCCACCCCACCGCAGTCCAGGATTCCCGGGCAGGCCCCCTTGTGACTTGGTGGTACACCAGGAAGCACTTGCTCATCAGCTGTCTCTGGCAAGTTCTCCAAAAGGGCCCAAACACCATGCCAGGGTCCCATCCCTGAGTCCCAGGAGGCAGCAGCACGGCGTGTGCCCCCCAGACGGCCCCCAGCCCTACCAGCCCCTCTCCCCCTCAGGTCTTCGCCTTGATCGTGTTCTCCTGCATCTTCGGGGAGGGCTACAGCAACACCCATGAGTCTAAGCAGATGTACTGTGTGTTCAACCACAATGAAGACGCCTGCCGCTACGGCACTGTCATTGGGGTGCTGGCCTTCCTGGCCTCGGCCTTCTTCTTGGTGGTCGACGTGTATTTCCCCCAGATGAGCAACGCCACTGACCGCAAGTACCTGGTCATTGGCGACCTGCTCTTCTCAGGTACCTTCTGGCAGCTCCTCCACTTGATCTTGGGAGGGGACTAGGAGCGGGAGGTGCTAGCCGTAGGGCTTCACGACTGCCGAGCTTCAGCTGACCTGAGCGGACAGGTTTTGCCATGGCATGGGGGGGTGCTGGTGTCCCTCTTATGCCCTGGGCTGGCACATAAGGATTTCTGGCATCTGCTGAAACCCACTGGTGTTGAGGCCCGGGGTGCGGACTTTGGTGCCTGGCCTCCCCTCCAGTTTCTGCAGCTTACTCGTCCTGGAGGCTCCTGGGAGATCTCAGCTTGGGGCTGCCTTCCCTTCCAGGAGTCCCCTTCCCTGGAAAGCCCCTAACCCTCCTTGGAGCTGACCTCCCTGCCTCTCTCCAGCTCTCTGGACCTTCCTGTGGTTTGTTGGTTTCTGCTTTCTCACCAATCAGTGGGCAGCCACCAAGATGGACGACGTGCTGGTGGGCGCCGACTCCGCCCGGGCAGCCATCGCCTTCAGCTTCTTTTCCATCTTCTCCTGGGTAGGTGGGCCAGAGCAGGCCAGTGGCATCCCTGATGAACAGTGGGGCTCCCTCCCACCTGCATCCCTCTGCCCTCCCCAACCCAAGCCTGGGCTCCCCCTGCAGGGCGTGCTGGCCTCTCTGGCCTACCAGCGCTATAAGGCCGGTGTGGACGACTTCATCCAGAACTATGTGGACCCCACTCCAGACCCCAGCACAGCCTACGCCTCCTACCCAGGTGCACCTGTGGACAACTACCAGCAGCCGCCCTTCACTCAGAACACGGAGGCCACTGAGGGCTACCAGCCGCCCCCTGTGTACTGAGTGGCGCTGGACTTTTCCCACAAGGCCTCCTGGGGCTGCCATCCCCATCCCCCATCCTCCATCCTCCCCCCATGCAGTCCCTGCTGACACATGGCTAAGGAGGCCCTTCCTCGCCCTGGGGGTCAGCAGAGCCACAGCCCAAGTGCCTGTGCCCAGAGGGCTCCACGGTCACCCACTCACTCCTCAAGGGCCTTTTGTAGGAAAGGATTTTCGGCCAGATGGATTTTCTTGTTGCTTTTAATGACCCCAACCCTGCCTCAAGTAGCTAGAAGTAGGAAGGCGCCCGTGTGCTATCTGACAAGTGCCTTAGCCTCCCCCAGCTTGGAGGAGCCAAGCCCAGGTCAAGGCTGTGGGAGCCGCAGTCATCTGGGTTCTCAGCCAAAGACGGAGGTCGGGCACACACCTGTCTCTGCATGGGTGCTGGGCTCAGGCTCTTGCCTCCTCACTCAGGTTACCCTACGCCCCAACCACTGCCCAGCCTGTGCTCACTGCTGTATGGTCTGGGATAGCCACCCGGTGCCAGTGCCTCTGGGCCGCCTCCCATGGTGTGGGGGCGGGGCTGGTGCCCACCCCAGGGAGCAACTCACAGCATTTCCCTGCTCCCACCCCCTGGCAGCAGGGAGGGGCTTTGCCTGACAACACCCAGCTTTATGTAAATATTCTGCAGTTGTTAAGAAGTGAGGGGAGGGCAGGGGCACCCCATGGCCCCTGGCTGTGCCGAATGTATTATAAAGCCTTGGGAGAGATGCCCCGGCCCTCTTTTCTGGTCAGAGATGGAATAAACGTTTTCTCATCCAGTCTCCACTGTCACTGGTTGGGCCTCAGCCTGGGGGCGGGAGGGAGATTCCACTCAGTGCACCCTTGGGGGCTGGCTGTGTAAAACTTGCATTTTGAATAAAGCTGAGGCAACCTAGCCGACCCCTCCCCTCTGGCCTGCGTAGATCACCCCCTCTCCTGTCTGGGGTCTCATTCCTCACAGACCTTTCATCAGCATCTTAAAATAGCAACTGCTCAGCTTGTAAACAAGATTTTTCTGGCCTGGCTCGCCAGGGTCCTGCTGCTCTCTCCTGGAGTTGAGGTGGCAGCTCCTGGGAATGCCCCTTCCTCAGTAACCCTCCCCTTTGTGCTCCTTTCAAGTCAGGGAGAGGAGTACCATGGGCGGGTCCAGGTTTCCCCTCTCCCAAAGGCTCAGCACCTCCGGATCCTTCCTGGGACACAGCAGGGACTCTTGGCCCCCCAGCCCACCCTGGGAGAGCGAGCCCAGCTCTAGCCAGAGAGGCCAAGCCCTGAAGCAACTCCTGGCTTCCCTTTTTGAGCAGTGGCAGAAGGAGCTGTCAACTCTGGGTCCCAAGAGTTTCAAAATCCCGAGTACGGGGCCTGCTCCCAGGTTCTGTGAGTTACAGGTCTCAGCTGTGGCTTGGGACATATCACTAGCAAAGGAGAGGAGGAAGGCCAGAGAAGCCACTGGGAACAGCCACCCTGCCTGCCCCGGGGTGAGTGGGTGCATGGTACCTGATCTGAGCAACCCAGCCCACCCCCAGTGGAGTCTCGCCTCCAAGGACACTGCCAGAGCCCATTTTCCGAGGCACAGCTGAGCTATGTCTGCTTGGCTCCTGAACTGCCAAGTGTCTGTTTCACAAACAAAACCTGACCTCGCAGCCTCAGCTGGCAACAGAACAGCAGCCTGGTCTTTCTAACCTGGCTCCACACTCCTCCATCCACCCATTTTTGTCTTGACACTAGCCCAGACAGGAAGGCCGATAAATGTTCCTCTTAGAACATGCTTTGTGATCACTTCTCAGAAAGTTGTGGTTAAGTAGTCAGTAATACTACAAAAAGATCTGGAAAAAACTTCCCACCCAAATCTTGTAAGAGTTGTCCACAACGAGACCTGGGGAAACACAGATTAAGGAAAAGCCTGCTTCCATCAACTAGTGGATTTTAATATTAGTTATTTGTTTCATACACTAAAGCAGAAGCATGGACCTTGCCCTTCCCGTGCTCTAAGAGAAGCTCCTGGGATCTGAGCCCCAGCAGGGCTGAAGCCACCCGCGTGAGAGATGCTGTTGTTCTGGAGAAAACCTGCACCAGAGCCTCGGAAGGGCTTTGAGCCCAAAAGGAGGCAAGAGGGCCGAGTCCAGGCCATCCTCAGAGGAGGGCAGGAGCCCATCCCAGGCAGGGGCCAGAGCCTGTGTGTGTGGTGTGGACTTCCCAGGAGAACAGAAACCCAGCAGTGAAAGCCACAAAGGGGGAAGAAGGTGTCCAGCTAATGTCACAACAACATGTGGCTCTGTTCCTCACCCCAAAGGAGGGGGGCGGTTCTGCAGTGGCCAGACCCCAGGCCGCCTTGTGGGGCTGGCTTCAGTCTAAGGCAGCTCATCCCAGCAGCCAGGAAGGGAACTAAGAAAGGGCCTGTGGGCAGGCAAGAAGAGCATGTGACATTCGGTGCAGCCTCACAAAGGGCACATCCCAGAAGGGGAAGTTCCCTCCTCTCCGCCCAACTTCCTTCACGAAAGGCCAGGCAGGCATCCGCCAGGCGGCAGCAGGTGGCCCTTCTCAGGCCCCTCAGTTGACAGGGCTGTTCTGCAGGATCTGCTGAGGGGCAAAGAGCTTCCTGACAGCCACTGCCTCCCCCGGCTTTCCTGGCAGCAGGCAGTTCTCCTTGTTGTCCAGCCCGGTGGGCTGGCCTGAGACCTTCTTGAAGTAGCAGAGGCGACACACGGAGTGGTACTTGTCCGCCCCACCAATCACCTCAACCTGACCGCAGGACACAAAGGGACAGGTGTGAAGGGTGGGGACTGGAAGGAGGCCGGGCCACACTCCTGCCCGCCAGGCCCAGCCCACCCAGCCCTCAGGAGAGGGCAGATGGGAGCTACCTCTTTCTCCGTGCCCAGCCTCTTGGTGTAGGCAGCCTCCCGGAAGCACTCCATGCACACCGCAGTCAGCTTCACCACACTCTCAGCCAGGGGCACCAGGTTCAGGATGGCCCCGAAAGCCTGCATTGCCACGGAAAGCGGGTGTATTCGGTCATCTCGCCAGGCGGGTTTTTCTTTTAAACCCTCTGAATCACAAGTGCTGAAGCCAAGAAAACTTGCCCCCATACCCCAGGGCACTATGCCCTACTCCATCCCTTTGCCAATCCAAGCACCCACTGCAGCAAGTGGCATCCAGTCTGGACACTCATTTCTGGGCAGACCAGGGAGTCCCTGGGCTAGGGCAAGGCCTGGTCGGAGCAACTTGGCTGTGCCCTGTAGTGTCCAAGCCCTGGTTACTCAGGGAGTGCTTCACTGAGACCAAGAGGAGGTATGCTGGGCTCACAATGTTGTGTACCATCCTGTGCCCGCGAGGAGGCCGCTTCTACCCTCCATACTCTGCTCTGAGACCTGGGACAAATGCCTCACCTTCCTCTGAAAGGTCCCATCCAGCGCAGCCACGATCACTGTCTTCCCAGCATTGGCCATGGACTCACAGAACTCCACGATGTCGGGGAACTGGAGATGGTGGGCGGAGGAAGAGAGTGAGTGTCTAGGCTGAGGTCCAGCTCCTGGAGCCTCAAAGAAGACACTGCCGGGTCTAACCACTCAACCCAGAGCATGAGAACAAGGGCTTCTATGCGACTCCCCAGACTAGGGACTAGTGTCCACCTGGGTGCCCTCCCAGCTGGAGATTGCAGGCACATCCATTAACTCCCTAGCCCTTTCCCATGGCACAGCGAGCTTCTGCTCCAAGCCTGGGTACCCAGGCACAGCACCAGACTGCCATACCTGGCTATGCTAACACCCCAGTGGTCAAAGGCTGGGGTGAGGGCACGCTGCCTTGGGCTTGAACACTGCTCTTGCTTGGACCTGTTGTCTGTGTGACCTTGGCAATGATTTCATGTTCCCAAATGGGTTTCCTCACTAAGAAACTCCAAGGAAGGCTGGGCGCAGTGGCTCACGCCTGTAATCCCAGCACTTTGGGAGGCCGAGACAGGATCGCCTGAGCTCACAGGTTTGAGAGCAGCCTGAGCAACTTGGCGAGACCTCATCTCTACAATAAATCAAAAAATTAGCCGGGCATGGTGGCACATGCCTGTAGTTCCAGCAACTCGGAAGGCTGAGGCAGAGGGATCGCCTGAGCCCAGCAGGTCGAGGCTGCGGTGGCCAGGAGCGTGCCACTGCCTTCCAGCCTGGGTGACAGAGTGAGACTCCAACTCAAAAAAAAAGAAACTGTAAGAAAAGACCTTGTTGTTTAAGGATGGAAGGCACTGAACTTCTTACACATGCCATTTGGCTAATGGGGGGCCTTCTGTGCTCTTACCTCCCATTAGCTATTTACAGAGCAAGATGATATGGCACGTCCTTCTAAAATGGCACATCCTTCTAAAAAGGGTCTGCAGAATGCCCATGTACTCTGTAAATCAAATTTCCTTTCCGTGTGAGAAGATGATACTATAACAAATCCTTTGGTGAATTTTTTTTTTGAGTTGGGGGTCTCATTCTGTCACCCAGGCTGGAGGGCAGTGGGATGAGCATGGCTTACCACAGCCTTGACCCCTTAGGCTCAGGCAATCCTTTTGCCTCACCTCCCAAGCAGCTGGGAATACAAGCGTGCATCACCACACCTGGCTAACTTTTTTTGACTTTTGTAGAGACAGGGTCTTGCTATGTTGCCTAGGCTAGTCTCGAACTCCTGGGCTCAAGCATCCTCCACCCTTGGTCTCTCAAAGTGCTAAGGTTATAGGCGTGAGCCACCGCACCTGGCCCACCTTTAATGACTTTTCATGAGCCAATCATATCACTTTTAGTCAGTCGAGTTCATATGTCGAAGTTGGCCTTTGGGTTGGGTGTGGGGATGTTCTTGTCTGTGAGTGCATGGTCTCTCTCTTCTAGCCACTCAGTCCTTCCTCACCCCATGTATTGAGGTGCGAGGTTATTGAGACATGAGAGGTAAGGAGAGGACCATGCAAGCAGTTAGAAGAACCAAGAGCAATTCACATGGGATCTAACAAAGCCCAGTGTGATCAGTCTCGGCAGAGAAGACCGGAGCTGTGGGGAGTAGGGTGGAGAAATCAGGGACTCCGGCATGACCGATTGTTTCCTGGCCACGCACACTTTCCCTCTTTTTCTCTAAAGGGCTCATTCACGTGTCATGAAAATGCAGGTCCTAGCTGGGCACGATGGCTCACGCCTGTAATCCCAGCACTTTGGGAGGCGGAAGCAAGAGTATTACCTGAGTCCAGAGGTTCGAGACCAGCCTGGGCAATCTGATGAGACCTTGTCTCTACAATAAGTAAAAAAACTCACTGGGCATGGTGGTGTGCACCTGTAGTTCCAGCTACTTGGAAGGCTGAGGCGGAAGGATCGCCAGAGCCCAGCAGGTCAAGGCTGCGGTGACCGGAAGCGTGCCACTGCACTCCAGCCTGGGCAAGAGTGAGACTCCCACTCAAAAAAAAGGAAAGAAAAGAAAGAAAATGCAGGTCCCAGCCTGCAGGAAGCTGTATGCCAGCAACCTCTTCAACCAGGGTGTCCGCTGTGGCACCCCTGGCATTTCAGGCTGGATCACTTTGTTGTGGGGCCATCCTGTATACCGTAGGATGCTGTACAATGTCCATGGCCTCCACCCACAAGATACCAGGAGCACCCCTCCTGTTTCCCAACTGTGACAAACAAAATTCCTTTCTTTTTTTTTTTTTTTTTTTTTTTGAGTCAGAGTCTCATTCTGTTGCCCAGGCTGGAGTACAGTGGAATGATCATGGCTCACTGCAGCCTCAACCTCCTGGGCTCAGGTGATCCTTCTGCCTCAGCCTCCTAAGTAGCTAAGACTACATGCACATGTCACCATGCCCTGCTAGTTTTTTTATGTTTTGTAGAGACTAGGTCTCACTGTGTCACCCAGGCAGGTCTTGAACTCCTGGCCTCAAGCAAGCCTCCCTCCTCGGCCTCCCAAAATGCTGGGATTACAGGCATGAGCCACTATGCCCAGCCCAAAATTGTTTCTAGATGTTGCCAAATGTCCCCTGGGTGGGAGCTGTGGGGGAAAACTATCTGAGCTGAGAACACTGTTCCTTAACTCTCCTCTAAAGGGCAGAAGCCAGGCCCTAGAACCTTCTGCTAGAGTTTAAGGGACTGAGGGAAGTCCTCTTCTCCCCGCTCACTATGCCTCTTGTCTAACCCTGGGCCAATGCCCACAGTCAAAGGGCTAGGTTCTCCCACCCCACACTTCTTCCCCTGTTGCAAATACCACCCTCCCCCAGGTCAGCGTCAACCCCCAGGGCCCCAGTAGAAGTCCCCGAGACAAAGGCCGTGGAGACAAAGATAGAGATGCCCAAGTTGCCCGCAACATTTATCTACTTTTATTGCCATTCGTTTTTCAAGGTATCTCATGGGTTGAATTGTGTCCCCACCTCCTCCACTCTGACATCCTGACCCCCAGTACCACGAATGTGACCCTAATTAGAGTTAAGGTCGTTACAGGGGTGATTAAGTCAAAGTGAGGTCACTAGGGTGGGTTCTAACCCAATGACGAGTGTCCTTATAAAAAGAGAAATTTGCACCAGGCTCGGTGGCTCAGCCTGTAATCCCAGCACTTTGGGAGACTGAGGTGAGTGGATTGCCTGAGCCCACGGGTTCGAGACCCACCTGGGCAACTTGGTGAGACCTCGTCTCTACAATAAACCAAAAATTAACCGGGCGTGGTAGCACGCACCTGTAGTCCTGACTACTTGGAAGGCTGAGGCGGAAGGATCGCCAGAGCCCAACAGGTTGAGGCTGTGGTGGCCAGGAGCGTGCCACTGCACTCTAGTCTGGGCGACAGAGTGAGACTCCAACTCAAAAAAAAAAAAGAAATTTGGACACAGACACATACGTATAAGGAAAACAATGTGAAGACAGGGGGAAAACAGTATCTATAATCAAGGAAAGAGGCTGGAGCCAGTCCTCCCCTCACAGCCAGCCCTGCCCACACCTGGATCTTGGACTTCCAACCTCTGGAGCTGTGAGAGAATCACGCTCTGTTTTCTAATGCCCCCAGCCTCTGGTGCTTTATATGGCAGCTCCAGGAAATACAAGTTACGTTTAAAATGAAACTTCCAAAGCCGGGCTCGGTGGCTCAGCTTATAATCCCACACCTTTGGGAGGCTGAGGTGAGTGGACTGCCTGAACCCGCGGGTTTGAGACCCGCCTGGGCAACTTGGCAAGACCTCATCTCTACAATAAATAAAAATATTAGCCGGGTGTGGTAGCGCGCGCCTGTAGTTCCAGCTACTTGGAAGGCTGAGGCGGAAGGATCGCCGGAGCCCAGCGGGTCGAGGCTGCGGTAGCTGGGAGTGGCCACTGCACTCCAGTCTGGGCGACAGAGTAAGACTCCAATTCAAATAAATAAATAAATAAATAAAATGAAACTTCCAGACTGCGTGTGGTGGCTCACACCTTTAATCCCAGCACCATGGGAGGCCCAAGTGAGAGGATTACTTGAACCCACGAGTTTGAGACCAGCCTAGGCAACACATCAGGACCTTGACTCTACAAAAAAAAAAAATCAGCCTAGATTAGTGGTGCATGCCTGAAGTCCCAGCTGTAGGAGGCTGAGGCAGGAGGATCACCTGAGCCCAAGAGATTGGGTGACAGAGACCCTGACTCAAAAAAAAAAAAAAGGAATCTCAGCACTTTGGGAGGCCAAGTGGGGAGGATTGCTTGAGTCCAGGAGTTTGTGACCAGCCTGGGCAACACAGTGAGATTCCGTCTCTAAAATAAAGAGAAAGGAAACATCAATGTACTTAGTAAAGTCATGGTTTTTTTCAGATGACTAACGTAACTGCCACATGGGATCCATGTAGATGTAAAGAGATGGGTTTATTTCTCAATGATGACAAGTTGGCCTACTTGAGCTCACTTGCTGTTAGCACACCTTCGGGTGACCGGCATCGAACCCTTTCTAAACAAGTTTTGATAGGAGGGAGAACCCCCGTGAGAGAGGAGAAACCCTAGCCGTAGATTTTCATCACCAGGTCGAGAGCTGGTCACTGTCAGCATGGCGGGAATGAACTCTGGCAGGGCTTGGGGGGCCCTCCTCCTGGCACCGACATGGGCTGCCATTCACGGCTCAAAGGCAGATCATTGAGGACACGAGTCAAGGATGCCACAAAGCAAAAAGCAAATTTCTGTGGGTAAAAGGCCCCATGAAATGCCACAGACAGAACTCAGAGGCAAATAAATGGGGCGGAGATTTCAAAGGGCACCGACTGTTACCTCCACTAAACAAAGATAATCTAGAGAAAAATGGGTGGAAACCCCAGAAAGGCAATTTACAACAGAAGAAATAAATATAGATAGCCAATAAACATGGACAAAAGGCATTAGCCATATTAGTAAAGCAACAAACGTAGTCAGAAGAGGGTTGTGTGTGTGTCCGTGTCCATATACACAACCTGTCACTCCCAGCCAAGCCACCTTCCTCCCTTCTGGGGCTTTCTGCAAAGGCCTTGCTGTTCTCACCACTGGCCCCTGCCCCC